ACCCGTGCCTCAGTTTCCCCATCTGTGAAATTGGGAGACAGCAGTGCCCACTTGTGTTGTGGTGGTGAAGACTGGGTGAACTGCAGTCCGTGTGCCATGCTTTGGTTGGTAGGGTACCGTGGCCAGCCTGACTTTGGTTGTGGCATCTGGACACCCCACCCCTGCCAGCTTGCCCCTCAAGCTGGGAAGCCAGGAGGCAGCGCGGTGTGCGGGCACGAGGCCCGAGGGCCCACCTCGGCGCTGTCCCCGCCTCTCCGGCAGACGTGAGGGACAGCCCCAACCGCACTGCGCAGGAGGCTGGGGGGGGCGGTGTTGAACACATTCATCGAGTAGGTCTCTCCCTGGGTGACTTGCTAAGCTGGAATCTTGGGCTCCAGAGCGGAGTTGGTTCAAAGCAGGAGTGTTGGATCTGGGGTCTCCGGGGACTGATGCAAACTCGTGAAGCCACACGCCGTCCCGAGACTCCACCGAACGTCACTGTGTGGACCATTGACTCCCAGAACACCCGAGCCAGGCATGCCAAGGCGTGCCAGCCCCCCTCCATGCCTGGCACTATCAGTTCTCAGGGCACCTTCTCATCCTCAAAACCACCCTACACATGCAGCCCCATTTTACAGAGGGGGACCCAGAGGCTCCAAGAGGGTCACCAACATGGCTGGCAGGGGGAGGAGCTGACACTCGACCCTTAAATCATGCTCCTCTTGATAACTTTTTAAATATCCCCAATAATAATTCCTGGGAAAGCCGGGCGCAGTGGCTCACGCCTGTCATCCCAACACTTTGGGAGGCAAAGGCGAGAGGATTGCCTGAGTCCAGGGGTTCAAGACCAGCCCGAGCAACTTGGCGATACCTCGTCTCTACAGTAGATCAAAAATTAACTGGGCGTGGTGGCGCATGCCTGTAGCTCTGGCTACTTGGAAGGCTGAGGTGGAAGGATCGCCAGTACCCAGCAGGTCGATGCTGGGGTGGCCGTGAGTGTCCCACTGCACTCCAGCCTGGGCAACAGAGTGAGACTCCAACTCAAAATAATAATAATAACAATTTCATCCCAGTGCTTTGGGAGGCCAAGCTGAGAGGATTGACTGAGCCTAGAAGTTCAAGACCAGCCTGAGCAACATAACGAGACCCCCATCTCTATGGAAAATATAAAAATTAGCTGGGCGTAGTGGCTCACACCGGTAGTCCCAGCTACTCGGGAGGCTGAGGCAGGAGGATCACTTGAGCCCAGGAACTCGAGGCTGCAGTGAGCCGTGATCATGCCACCACACTCCAGCCTGGACAGCAGAGTGAGAGCTCAACTCAAATAGAAAAATAAATGGCAACACTGAGGCTCAAGACCTCATGAGATCTGGGACTCCTAGAACTGGATTGTGGACTGGGAGTGTAACAACTGTGTTCACTGCACCAGCACTCGCAAAAAGACAGAGGCGTGTCCGGGTGTGGTGGCACAGGCCTGTAATCCCAGCACTTTGGAAAGCTGAAGTGGGAGGACCACTGAAAGCCAGGAGTTTGAGACCAGCCTGCGCACCATAGCAAGACCTCATCTCTAAATTTAAAAAATATGTGCCCCCCCAAAAAGAAAACACAGAGTCTTGAAACCCATGGGGCCTGGATCACAGATCCGTCCACCCCCTGTCCCCCAGCCTCTCTGCAGGCGCCAGCTCCCCTGGGACAGAGCACCTAAGGCAGCAAGGAGTGACCTCCGGGGCCCCGGAGCAGAAGGAGACCCACTCCCTGAGAGTGGGTGAGCGACAGCCAGCCTCCCACGGCGTTCAGCTCCGACGGGCTCACAGCCAGCCGTCCCTCCCCTTAGAACCAGGGCGCGCCCTCTGCGGCCCCTTGGCGAGGCCCCTTCTGTGTGTATCTGACCTCCCCAACCCCGCAAGCACGTATCACCTTTTCCCTCCTTTCTCAAAAACCGGGACACAGTGGGAAGCGTTTCCTTGAACTTATTAAAAAATCCAGACTTGTAAATTAATTTGTTCGTGTTGTACAAAGGCAGTGCAGATGGACTCATTAGCATGCACACAACAAATAATTATAGACGAATTTTTAGCCAGCCTGCCTAATGCGCTCGCTGGGTTAATTATGTCAATGTATAATTACATCAGCCCGGAGAGACATAATGGCTTACCCTGCTGAGCGGGCCCTGCCTAATGACGGGGCGTGGGCTGCTGGCAGCCAGGGCTTGCGCCCGCACCTGCCCACCTCGACACGGACGCCCGTTGTCCAGCCGCCCGCCGCCGCCGAAACAGACAGGCACGGGAGAATGAAGTGGAGAGGCTGCCTTGTGCCAGCCAGACCTGAAGTCCCCATGCACAGACACTGCCCCGTTTCTTCCATCAACAAGTACCTATCGGGTCGGACCATGGGTCAGGCTTCCTGGTAGGTACGAGGGGCCCAGTGCAGGGAGCTGGGGACAGGTGCAGCCCTGGCCTTCCTTGTGGTGGGGTTTGTAGTCAGTGGGCGCATTAGGCGGGCCTGCAGGCACATGTGCGTAAACTTCCAGTGGGTGGGGTGAGGCGGCTCATTTCAGGGAACAGATTAGTCAAGGAGGGCTTCCTGGAAACAGTGGCCTCTGAGCAGCAACAAGAAAAATGAGTAAGCATTAACTAGCAGAACAGAGAAGGGGAAGGGTGTCTCGGGCGGAGGCTCCTTTGCCCTGCCTAATGGGACTGAGGAGAAAGATAGTGTGATGGGACGCAGAAAAGAACAATGGGGGCTTCTGGTTGTTCCAAGCTGACCAAACATCAGGCGCCCTATGGAGAACTTTACGTGGGTTCTCAACAGTCCCTCAAGGTCACGCAGTGAAGCACAGAAAGGTAGAGATGCTCACCAAGGCCACGCAGCAATCTCAAGTGTGGGCCAGACCGGGGAGATCTGGCATCAGGGCATTAGAAAGAACCGGGCCAGAGCCCAAACCCTCGGTCTCCTTGAGCTTCCTAGACCCCGGGATGCCACGTGCGGCTGCTGGGGCCTTGACATGCACACACGGAACAGAAGGTGTGAAGGCGTCAAGCTCGAGACCCCGATGCGAGTCTGGCCTCCAGCCTCCAGCAGGTCACAGGCTTCTCTAAGCCTCAGTATCCCCTCCACGCCGGCCTCCAGGCGCTGCTGTGAGGGTCACGGGCCCTCTCCTACGGGTAGGCTCCTTGGCCTGGAAGGTGCCACGCCACCCCTGGAGGGACCCAGGCGTTGCCGGTCCTGCCCCAGGCGGGGAGTTGGGGGGAAAGGGCCTGGACACTGCAGGGCAGCTGGAGGCCGTGCTCGCAGGCGCAGAGCGGGAGGAGGCCAGGCAGAAGTACCTGACAGACCTCACCTGCAGCAGCTGGGACGTTGGCGGACATCTGACCTGCATTTTGCCCCTGGAAAAGCCACTGTTTAGTCAACAGTGCATGCCACGAGGGGTATGATGGCGGCGATTGTGATCACCAGGGTCCCCCGAGAAGCCCCGCCAGGGATTATGGGCGCAAGAATGTCACTGGGGAGACGAGAGGGGGGAGGCGGGGAGGCTGGAAGAGCCCGAGCGAGGGTGGCAGCTGACACATCTAGACCACCACGCAGCCTGTGGACGTGCCGGCCATGGCCGGGGGGGACCCTTGAGCTGAAGCGGCCTCAGAGTAGTCCTGCCTTGGTCTCCTCCCTGCACACTGGCACGGTCTGGGGAAGCCGTGGGAAGGTCGTCTCCGTGGGACAGGTCCAGAGCAGGGCAGCGACCCTGCGCAGTGACTCGCTGGGGCTGAGGTCTGCAGGGTGCACACTCGCGGCTGCCATAGATGGGGTGGCTCAGCCTGTAATCCCGCGCCTTTGGGAGGCTGAGGAGAGCGGATTGCCTGAGCCCGCGGGTTGGAGAGCTGCCTGGGCAACTTGGCGAGACCTCCTCTCTACCATAAATCAAAAATTAGCCAGGCGTGGTAGCGCGCGCCTGTAGTTCCAGTTACTTGGAAGGCGGAGGCGGAAGGATCACCGGAGCCCAGCAGGTCGAGGCTGTGGTGGCCGGGAGCGGCCACTGCACTCCAGTCTGGGTGACAGAGTGAGACTCCAACTCAAAAAAAAAAAGAAAAGAAATGAACAACTGGGATGCTGAGTCTTTTTTTGGGGGGGGCGGGGGTCAGATCTCACTCTGTTGCCCAGACTGGAGTGCAGTAGCACCATCACAGCTACCATAGCCTCAACCTACTGGGGCCAGGTGATCCTTCCGCCTCAGCCTCCTGAGTGGGACTGCGGGTGTGCACCACCATGCCGAGCTAATTTTGTGTGTGTGTGTGTGTGTGGACTACAGGCACACACCATCACACACACTTAATTTTGGGGTTTTTTTAGTTGGAGTCTCACTCCATCACCCAGGGGATGCAGCGAGATGGTATGTTCACAGCCACCACAGGTCAGTGGCATGCTCATGGCCACCTCAGCATTGACCTGCTGGGTTCAAGCAATCCTTCCACCTCAGTCTTCCAAGTAGCTGGAACTACAGGCACGTGACCACACCCGGCTAATTTTTTGATTTCTTGTAGAGATGAGGTCTTGTGAAGTTGCCCAAGCTGGTCTTGAACCCGTGGGCTTAGGTAATCCTCTCACCTCAGCCTCCCAAAGTGCTGGGATTGTAGGCTTGAGCCACTGCACCCAGCTGTTTTTTGTTTTTGTTTTTTTTTTTGTAGAGACGAGGTCTTGCTGTATTGCCCAGGCTGGTCTCAAATTCCTGGGCTCAAGCAACCCTCCCTCCTCAGCCTCCAAAAGTGCTGGGATTGCAAGTGTGAGCCACCGCACCAGGCCATGACACTGACTCTTGTCTGTGTTCATCCCAGCTGAGCAGGACACCTGCACCCACAAGACGGCACTCTCCCCTGAGCAGGTGCCAGGAGGAGACGGCCCTCTTCGTAACACAGAAGGCCCACATCGTGCCTGTGAGCCACCGGGTGACTCTTGGCGGACCCACCACGGTCGCGGCCTGGGCGTCGCCCCCCCACAGGGCCCTCACTGCCCGTCTCCTCTCTCTGCAGATCCCGTGCCTGTGTTTGAGGCGGCGCGCGGCCTAGACGACAGACTGCAGCCCCCCAGCCTCGACCCCGGTGGGCAGCCCCGGCGAGACCTCCACGCTTCGTGGAAGAAGAGCCCCGAGCTCCTCAGCCCCAAAGGTACTGATAAGGCCTTCCCAGGGTGTCAGCAGTAAGCAGCCAGGCTACGGGCTTCAGCAGCCAGATTTGGCCACCCCGGGGGTGGGTGGGACAGGGGACTGGGCTGCTCCGTTTTAGGTGGGGGTAGGTGAAGTAACACCACTGCTGACAGAAAGGAACCCACATCTCAGGGACTGAATCTACTGCAGGGTAGGGAGGTGGCAGAGGGCACTCCATGCTGTCACTCAGCGACCCAGGCGGCTGGGTCCTGCCATCTCCAGCACGCCACACCCAGCGTCACATGTGGACAGCCAGCCAACGGGCAGAGGAAGCACGTGGCAACCACATGGAGGTTTGTGGGGTACAATCCTGGAATGGCATCCGTCACCTCCATCAGCATCCCATTGGGCAACATGCAAGTATGGGGCCACACCCAGCTGCAAAGGAGCCTAGGAAATGTAGTCCGGCCATGCAGCTGGGAGCAGAGCATCCTGGGATGTATGTATAGAACACACAGTACCTGGCGGCCACAGGTGTGGGAAAGGAGCCTTAAGGATACCTGAGCTCATGACAGAGTCTACACAACGTCCTGCTTACCTTTTAGTCTCTGGATATCTAGACACAGAGCTTACACCTGGGGACGCTTGGAGACCTGGAATCTCAGTGCTGGGGTCTTGGGGGCAGGGGGGGGATGTATAATGTGTCTTTGACCTTTAAGCTTGGGACTAATTCAGAACTAGACTCGACCAGACATGGAGGCTCCCACCTATAATCCCAGCACTTTGGGAGGAAGACCAGCGAGACCCTGTCTCTACACAAAATTTAAAATAAGTAAATAAATAAGAACTAGACTCGAGGGAGCCAGTGGCAGAGGTCAGAGCTTAGTTCCTGCAGCTCAAGACAGGAGAGCCAGTCTGGGCCACCGGAGCTTCTCACCACAGCACCCAGGACCCCAGGACACCCAGGGCAGCTGGCGTGAAGCCCAGAGCAGGGGCTGGAGGGTGGGACCTCAAAGCCTCCTTTGGAAAGACAGTCCAGACCAGGGTCTTGATGCAAACACAGGGAGGGTGAGGTCCTCCCCCACCCCAGCTGTCAGAGAAGCCCCTGGCTCAACCATGAAATGGGCAAAAGGCATGAACAGACACTCCACTGGGAAACAGGGAGACGCAGACCCTGAGAGGAGCAACACAGCAGGGCAGTCTTTGCCTGACCACGGCCATCAGTGGACAAGACTGGCAATGCCACAGGTCGGTGGGTATGTGGGGCCACAGGGCTTCCATTGCTGCTGCCGGAGTGTGGACTGTGGACCGGGACAGTTGCCTTGAAAACAGGCTCTCGGGAGGTACAGATGGACCTGACCAGGGCTTCAGCATATCCGCTCCTCGCTGTGTGTCCTCGAGAAACTCATGCTGGGGCGTGGTGACATGCACCTGTGGTCCCAGCTACACAGGAGGCTGAGGAGGGAGGATCGCCTGAGCCCAGGAGTTGGCGGCTATGGTGAGCGGTGGTCGTGCCACTGCACTCTAGCCTGGGCAACAGAGTGAGCCCTTGACTCAAAAAGGAAAAAAAAAAAGAAACTCACGCTGCTCAAGGAGGTGGGGCAAGAAGGAGGTGAGCGTTGGTCTCCGCAGCCACACAAAACCAGATCAAGCCCCACATCTGGTGGCAGGAGACCAGGTCAGAAAAAGGTGTGTTCACAAGTTGGAATCTGATCCGCCGTGAGTGATCAACAGCTGTGCCCACCGCAGATAAATCTTCTGGAGTGGACCTCCCTGAGCCCAATGCCCTTCCTAGGAAATCAGGAGAAGGGCTGGGTGTGGTGGCTCACACCTGTGATCTCAGCACTTTGGGAGGCTGAGGCAGGAGGATCACTTGAGGTCAAGAGTTTGAGACCAGCCTGGGCAACATAAGGGGACCTCGTCTCTTAAAAAAAAAAAAAAAAAAAAGAGGCCGGGTTCGGTGGCTCAGCCTATAATCCCAGCACTTTGGGAGGCCAAAGCGAGTGGATTGCCTCAGCCCGCAGGTTCAAGACCCACCTGGGCAACTTGGCGAGACCTCATCTCTAATAAATCAAAAATTAGCCTGGCATGATAGCGTGCACTTGTAGTTCCAGCTCCGTGGAAGGCTGAAGCGGAAGGATTGTCTGAGTCCAGCAGGTTGAGGCTGCAGTGGCCATGAGTGTGCCACCGCACTCCAGTCTGGGCAACAGAGTGAGACTCCAACTCAAAAAAAATAAAAAAAGAAAGAATAGGAAAAAAAAACACATGCACAGACGTTCCCAGCAGTGCTATTACAACAGCCAAACGTGGACACGACCCAAGTAACCACCAACAGAGGAAGGGATAAACACAGGGTGGTCTATCTGGAGAGCGGAATGTTAGTTGGCCATAAAAAGGAAGGAAGGAGTGACACGAGCGTGGGTGAACCCTGCAAACACCGGGCTGAGTGAAACAAGCCAGACCCCCAAGGCCATGCAGCATTGGTTCCATTGATAGGAGATGTCTATGACGGGCAACTCCCTGGAGCCAGAAGGGAATGGGTGGTGCCCGGGGCTGAGGGTTGAGCAATGAGGCGTTGCTTGAGGGACAGGGGGTGCCCTTGGGGTGATGATGAGGTTCTGGAATGAGTGGTGATGGCTTCACGGTACTGTGGATGGACTAAATGTCACTTTAAAATGGCGAAGTTTATGTTACGTCCATTTTGCCACAATTTTTAACAAAGCGGAGACACGAGCTGGCCAGGAAGCCTCTGGCGCCAGTCCCCAGCAGGCGACAGGAGCCGACCTGCGTGTGGGCAGGTGGAGGCCATAGCCACGCCTCTCCAAGGCCCGACCCAGTCTGGGAATCGATGGCGTCAATGGCCGACTGGGTGGCGGAGGCTGCCCTGGCAGTGGTGTGACTCCCTCCACGGTGGGCATGTCCTCTCTTCTTTTTCCCGCAGAGCAGAGAGAGGAGACGTCTCCCGCCGGGCCCACGCTGACCGAGGGCAGCCGCCTCCCAGGCCTTCCCGGGAAAGCCCTCCTGACAGAAACCTTGCTGCAGAGAAATGAGGCGGAGAAACAAAAGTGAGGCGTGGGAGGCAGGGCTGGGCTCCTGCTTCCTGGGCTGGCTGGGGCTGAGAGGGGGAAGCCCTGCCTAGGAAGCCAGCCTCGGGCCATCCGGGTGCGGGCTGAGGACGGCTGGGGCAGGGCTGAGGGCTTTGGATGCCCGTGGGCCGGGGACCCCGCCACAGGCGCTCAGGGGCCAGCCGTGGGCAAGTCACATCACCCTT